AAAAATGAAAAACGGGAAGTGGCGAATACAAAAACACCAGCGTTTGTTAAAAATTCATGGTAAAATAAACACCTCACCCTAAGCCGGCTGGGTCCGTAGCCGGGCCGCCGAAGAGCCGTCAGAGCCCTGGCGCGCCGCGCACCGCCCAGCTGGCTCCACGCCCAGAGTCGCGTGCACGTGCGCGGCGGATCCCGCCCCCTCTGCTCTCTTGGCCAATGAGAAATGTTAGCGTAATTTGCCCCCGCCTGGTCGCAAATCACATGACCGCGCCTCCCCGCCCTCTACCCGCTGTCTGCAGGTTCTGAGAAGATGGCGAAGGTTTCAGAGCTGTACGATGTCACTTGGGAAGGTAACTCGGGCGGGGCGGGCGCGGAAAGACCAAAAGCCCTGGGAAGCAGTTCGAAGTACTTGCTGCCTTCGGAGAGCTGGACCCTCGGGTCTCTCCTCGGTCCTGGAGCTCTCACTGGACCGGCCGAGCTGAGGTAGTGGCTGAGGCGGAGGCTGAGGCTGACTTCCCTTGGCCCGACCGCCGACTGCAGTTCTCTCTGCTGCCCTCCCCTTGTGTTTATCCATAGACAGACCAACGTGCTTCCGTGCCGGTCCGCCGGCCCGGGGCGGCTTCCTTTATAAGGCGGGAGGAAGCTGGGGCTGAGGCTGCGGCTGCTGGGCGGCGCGGAGGAGACGGGATAGTTGCCTGCCGAAGCTTCAGTATAGGTTTCTTTGAAGATAGTTTGCACTGAACATTAAGGAATGAGTAGGTGTGTTAGTACCAGCAGACAAGGTTTAACTAAATAACTTGGACCTCACCCTGTGGATATTCGAAAGAGGAGAGATATAATTTGATTTAAAATAATAATAACTACTAAAGTTTGTTGAGGAACAAAACATATGTTAAAGCGCTTTTAAACTGTTATATACTATATAAAAAGATGATCTGACTCCTGCCCTTGGCTACAACTTTATCTTAAGCTATGTAATTGTTACTTGATGAGCAGGCTATGCTGGCTTGTTGAATTCCCTGAATGTGCCGTGCTCCTCTTACCTTAGGGCTGGCTGGACACATGCTGTTCCTTCCACCAAGAGCCTTCTTCCACTCCTGCACCCATTATAGTTTATCATTTCTCAGAATTCCTCTCAAAGTTTACATACTTCAAAGAGCTCTTCTTGGACCCCCCTACTCCTGCCCCATCCCTCCACCAAAATTTTTAGTAAGAGGAAACAAGAACAAGCAACAAATCCTAACCCCCGTCTTTAATTATGTGTCCTCTTGCTATTGAAGTACTTTTACTCCATTGGGTTAAGTTTTAATTTTTTTTCTCCTAGAATGAAGGAAGGGGCCGCCAGGTCTGTCTTGTTCTAGTGCCTGACATGCTGGAGAAACTTAGTAATTATTTGTTGACTAAATGAAATGTTAATAAACATTAACACATTGTCACAAAAAAGCTTATAGGCCATTTTTCTAGTATTGGATATAATTTCTTTAGTATTTTAGATAGACTTAGGCACCTCACTGAATAGGATAATAATTTGCTAACTTATAAAATGAGGGTTGAGACCATTCCAGAATTTAAATTCTATTTTAGGGGAATTCCAAGAGAAGAGTATTCTAGGGATTTCTTTCAGAGACTTAATGGTTACAGATTTTTAGTATATAAGAGAATGACGAGTACTCTCAGGCATATTTTCCTTTGTTTAGATTTTTTTGGAAGGGAGTGTCAGTTGAACCCATGGCCTTAAGAATTACATCCAGTAGCATCAATGAATTAAAGTCATTGAAATGGTTATAGTTCAAAGAGTATTGTAATTCTTGGGATAGGAAAGATTATCACATGTTTATGAAAGACCTATATAGTAAGTCTAACACTTTAAGTCTTTATTGGGCTCTCTAAGAAGTAGAATATATGGTTGGTTTATTAAGCCAGTGGAAAGTTATTGGTATTTATTATATGAAAGTTATTAGGAGTTCAGACGTGGTATAAGAGGTTAGTCAGGTTTCTTGAGAATAGGGTGTTTGGGAAGGATGTGGATAGGATGTCTAGCACAATGCTTGGCCTATAAATAGGCACTAAATAATATCTGTTGGAAAAATATAAGGATGTTTAAGGGGATTTTAGTTGTTTATGCAGTCTCTACTTCCTTTTTTTCAGTCCTTCAAACAACCACAGTTTGGTTTCCATGCCCTGTCACTACAGTAAGATTCCTAGGGCAGCCTGATGATAGGTCTAATGTATGTATTTTGTACTGTGTTTGTCATTGCAGATCACTCCCTCTATGAAAACTTATTTCCTTGGTTTCTTTATAATGTTAAAGTTCTCCTCTTACTTTTCAGACCTTTCTTTTCCTGAGTTTTCTACATCCATTTGTCCTTAATTTTTGGTATTCCTTATGGTTCCTTCCTTAGCCCTCTTCATCTGTTAATGGTGGTTGTTAAAGCTGAGATCAATAGACTTTTGACCGATGTAGGCGTAAGTGTTATGTAGTCGGAATTCCCTTAAATTAGATGCAAAATTGACTGTGAAAGTAAACATTTACAGTTGACCCTTGAACAGTGTGGGGGGTTATGGAACACTGACCCACCAAGCAGTGGAAAATCCACATACAGCTTTTGACTCGCCCCAAACTTAACTACTAATAGCTTATGTTGACTGAAAGTCTCACCAATAGCATCAAGTTGATTAACACATATTTTGTATGTTATATGTGTTGTGTGCTGTATTCTTACAGTAAGGTAGAGAAAAAATTTTTTTGAACTTGTGACACATCTCCAAAAATTTATCCAATATATTTGCAGAAAAATAATCCATATATAAGTTGACTCACACAGTTCAAACCTGTGTTGTTTAAGGGTCAACTGTACATGTTTCTTGGAAAAGATGATTCAAAGGTCTGACCATCAGCTTCAAAGAGATTTAAAAGTGCTAAAGGTCTTCGGTGGGCAGTCTCACCTAGCTTTAAATATTAGCCTGTATGCTAAAGAACATGTTAATTAAACTTTGCACCAGGCAATGTTTTGTTCTTGAGGATACAGTGCTGAACAAAACATTCAAGGTCCCAGATCTCATGGAATATACCCTGAGATTTCACTTCTAAAGGTCCATATTTATAGACATATATATATTTTATGAAGGTTACTTAGGAAGGTAGGTTGGTGCCTTGAATACTATTATGAAGAATTTGGACTTTATTTTGTAGATGGTTAGCAGCCACTTTTCCATTGAAAAAAATCAATAGCTCCTTTCATTAAACTTAAACTTTAAAATGTGTATGTGATATAGGGCAGGGCCTTTCCTTTGATGAAGATCCCCTGATTGAAATTTCTTGTCGTCTTTAATAATCCATTTTCAGTTTGCTTTCTTTAACATGGAACAGAAATATTAAACTCTTGTATAGCAGCTATAGTGCGTAAGTCTTTTAGATATTTATTGTTTCCTTGTTGT